AAGGTGGTTTTGCTCACACACTGCCAACACACATTTATGTTCAAACACCATGGAAAAGTGAATTTTCCATAATAGGTGCCCTTTAATAAACTGGTAATCTTTATATGTGCAAAACAACTCTGATGAACTGTAATAAAGTGTGTTCGCTCTCTTTCATTACTGCCGTGACCAGTATCAATCCGGAGACTATAAGCTGGATCACAAACAGTCGGTACTGATCCATCCCAGAACAACAACTTTTTAGCTAAGTCTATGTTTTGTATTGTCCCTTTGCATCGACCCTCATTCAGAAAGCAGTCTGGAGTGAAATGATTTGCGCAGACCAATTAATTTCAACGAATTACCTTCAAAAATAAAACTAATCCATTGTGTCCTCAGTGGCTCAGATGATAGGAGAGAATGAAGACTTATGTTCACGCTTAAGGCCAATTTATACTTCTGCGTAGTGTGCGCAGTAGGTACGGCGTAGCATACGCACAGACGCGTCCCATACCGCGTACCCTTCCGCGTTGCCTGACGCGCACCTCTTCAAAAATGTAACTACACGTCGCGACGACGCGGACCGCAAGATCGGTGATTGGTCGGCTTGGTAGCATCGCATTTCCTCCTACGCATTTCCGCACGTACCTTCTCACGCATTTCCACACGTACCATCTCCTCCGACGTCTTCTCTCATTTCTGCCTTTCAGTTTTAGTAATTTCACTAAAGTGAACTGTTTTTCCACCTCAATAAGCTCCAACTCCAACATGATCCACTCTCTTTCAATCGCTATTGCTTGTAGTAACCTAGCCGCGAGGAATCTAAACACAGTGGAACATTAAAACTCTCCGCCGCCAACTAGCGTTTCGGAGCAGTACTGCAGAGCAACCAAGACCTGAACGCAGAAGTATAAATGCTCATAACGGCGTCACCTACGTGCGTAGCCAACGCCGCACATTACAGCGTACCCTCGACGCAGAAGTATAAATTGGCCTTTACATCCAGCCACCGAACACAGGGATTTCTTCCGAGACATTTTTGTAGCTACAGCTGCTTGGAGCACGGACGGACACTATGGTAATACCCAACTCCTTCCTACCTAAACTCATTACTCCTGACTTGCATGCCATCCAGAAACTTGCACTCTGCACAAATCTCTTTCTCTGACCTTATTCTGGTCTGTTCCCTGCAGGTGGAATTACCTGCGCAACTCAACCAGAGCTGATGACTTTGTGGCCATTTTCAAGAAACGACTGGAGACGCATCTTTTTCGGCAACACTTGATCCATTAATACTAACACCTTATCTTCTATTCTATTATCTTTATTAAATAAAAAAAGAAAAGAACACGTACTGCGTTAGATTAAACTTGGAAGGGTCATAGCACTTGCATATTGTATCCTATTGTTAGTTTAACAGCTTCTATTTTTCCCATTTTTAAGTAGCTTTGGATAAAAGTGTCTGCTAAATGAAGAAATGTAAATGTAAAATAGTTTTGTCAGTCAGCGGCCATGGGCGGGGCCTGAGCAGTATGATGTCACACTGCTCAGAGAATCAAAACAGCATGTCTAATAAAACTGGTTTGGTTGAAAGGCGATTAAAAAAATAATATGACAATGAGTATAATGAGAAATATGAGTGGGTGTATTTTTATTATTGAAGGGTGATGCTAACACATTTATGTCCAAGTGGATTTTGTATAATAGGGGACATTTAATAATAAACAATGACTACTATTGTTGTTTTCATTGATGTGCATCCTGTTCATATCAGTTAACATCTCAAAATCGGTTTTAGGGTTTTCTGCCCTTTAAATGACACAGTGACTTATGAAAAGGCATACACACCTTTGCAGAGTCCCCTTGTTTCCTTCTGGATTTGCCCTCTGATCCTTCTCCATTTGCTCTTCTCCCTCTTCTAGGCCCAGATTCTTTTGAGTCTTTCCCCAGTCTTTCAGAAAACTGCTAATAAAGCAAAGGAAAACAACTTAAAATAAAAACCACTAAGACAGTATAGAACAGTATGGAGTGTACCATGTATTGATAACTCCTAATTTATCATATAGACATACATTGCTAAGGCTTAGGTCATGCAAAAGTATATTCTGGTGGTTGCCAAGTGACATGTCCAGCATATCAGTGCTTTTTCCTCCTGGTGTCCCAGTTCCCGTTGCATACATTGGGAGGCGGTAGTCTAACTCGCTGAGCTTCTCCTGTTTGATACCCATACTGTGGAGAAAGCCACAACCATGGTCAGGAGAGTCACGCTCCTTCTTAAGGATCATCTCCTGGGGAAGGTCCGCCATGGAGGTTTGTGAAGTCAGGCGTGTGAAACTGGTGACTGGGGGTAAATGGCTGAACATGATCATGCCGGGGGGGAAGTTGGGGTCCATGCCTCCGTTCCGTAAAAACTCATTGCCTAGCTTGTCCTGGATAATACTCATGCTTGGGTCTTCCAAAGGGCAAAGTTCATTGATGAAATATGCTATAAAGACAAGAAAACATGAGATTGATTAGGACATTAACATAGTAGCTTGATGCATTAACTACCGAGTAGTAAATTAGTAATTTATAGAAGAAAAAAAAAATCTCCAGTGAATAGTCAAAGTAAGTTTAATAGTCAATAATTTTCTTTAATTTTCTTAATTTTTCCTGGTCCATAAATACAAGTGATTTCAGTTACTACACTTGCTGATTCAGGGAATTGTGCACATTGCATTCTGTCATTTGATTAGGCTTATTTAGGCCAATTGTAATTGTAATGAAGCTTTTTATGACAAAGCAAAATCAGATATTGTCTCTGTTGCATTGCTTTAATATACCACCAGAGACATCATATCTTTAAAATTGAGGTTATAATCGTTGACAATTTAAGATCTTATAGGCCAGAAAGCTTCTGACTGAAGCAGTTGAGATGAAAGCCAAAAAAAAAAAACACCAATTATATCAGTGTCTTATACTATCATTGTATCATTTAAAAACAAAACAACGTTATCTTAGCAAGCATTTTATATTGTATTTAATTTCTTTGTTGCTAAATTGACAGGGATATTTATAATATGCATGGTCTAAATGTGAAAATGGAGTACATTTCTATAATCAGTCAGCTGTCTAAAATGTAATAGTACGGAAATTATGGAGATTACTCAGAGTTGGAATCATTTAAAAAATAATAGCTTTGGTTTTGATTATTATTAAAAAGCTCAAGTTCAAGAAAATAAATATAAACAAACCCTGCATGTGAAGATCCAAATCAGTCCTTTTTGATAATCTGTTAGCTAATCTTAGCATCATTAGATTAGATACCGTAACTTACTTTAAAAGCACGACTATGAAACTCTGGGGTTTTATTCGCGGAAACTCGCAGGAAATTGTTTCAGCAAATAATTAAAACACCATTGATATGAAATCCATCATCTTTTCAGAAAATAAACGGTCCAAGCTTCGAGTCTGCGGGTTGCCGCAGCATTGTTCTCTATTGTGATCAGCTAACGTTAATGGATAGCTACTTAATCTTATTGATATGGCCCAGTCTCTTAATTCATTTGATATTATAAATTAAAGCAAGTTTAGGTGCAGTGATGCTTTCATTTTTCGTCGTTTATAAGTTTACGTCCTACTTTTCATAGCTAAACTGAGTCAAAATGTAATATTTTTATCAAATGCGTCTAACCTAGTCGTTCATCACAATTACCAAACACATCTCGGTCTAAATGACTCCATTAGCAGCTAACGGCTAACTAACGCAAACGAGTGAACCGTGAGAACTTAACATCACAAGATTTTAAACAAACTCGTGTGTGTACATATACCTCTCCACAGGAATACATACGAAAGAAAAGCTTAAAAAACACAACCAAAGTGAAGCGTTTTATTGAACTAAGCGATGAACGGGGCTAGCCAGCAATAGCATGCAGATGAAAGAGCTAACGTTACTGCTAACAGCCCATCTCCACGCTTTACTACGCTACCATTACAACAAACGAAACCTGATACACTGAGAATAGGGATCTTCCAGGGTACAGTTCCTTTGATAATAACTACAGCGTTGTAATTGTACCGCTTCTCTCGTTCTTGTCGTGTTCATAAGTGTGATATATAATGACCATTCATCCATTCGTCACCATCACTAATTATAGCCACACACAGTAACACAATCCGCCGAGAATATTCGGCGATAAATGCGATGTAAAGAGCACGCAGAGACGAGTATACATGTACGCCTGCAAAGACAGATCGAAATTGTATGCTAAAAGCGTTTCTAATGGCCACAGTATCTTGCAGAAGAAACAATGATGCTCGGCGCTGAAATGCATCTCTCGCTTGAGCGGCTGTGATTTCAGTCGTGCGCGACCCCTTATCTTTACAACCTCGGGCATAAATAAATGGTACAAACGCAATCCCACTTACTTGCTCATGACCACGGCCGACTCGCAGCGTTCAAATTAATCCCGGCGCTCGATTCTTAGAATTATTTTACAGCCAAAATATTGTTATCTTGCAGCTGTTGGCCTCTTCCATGTTGTGCCGACGCTGGGAATTATGGGTTGAGTGGACGGGTCGTGAGAGGAGACAGACGGATGCAGGCAGGACAAGTAGGGGGGCACTATGCAAATGAAGATTGTGCCTGAGCATCTGCGACTTTGTCCTGCGTGTGAATTAGTTCTTAACATAATAGCTGGCACATAAATATAGCCTAAAACAGATCTATCTAGGCTCTCGCTCTCTCTCTCTCTCTAGCTATAGATATTCACAATGTTACATGAATTTGAATGTCTATTTTGACATCGCTTACCTCAGGTATTTGATCGTTGTTAACTTTGGGTTTAAATTTGATTTTGTTAAACAGCTCTTATAGCCTATATTGGATGACCTTGTCTTGAGCGGATGTTATGATCAATATGTTCACAGCAGATGGCACTATAATGCTAGTATTCCACGGACAAACGCGCGCTCTTGTCTCGCACTAGAAAGATATACGACCCCTTTCTCCTGCTCAATGATTTGAACACACACACGAACGAGCGCATGTGCCCAACCTCTGCCTCCCTCTCTCAGCGTAAAGGCAGAAGAAGCGCGCATCAGTTCAGATTTAGTGCCGCAGTTTATCTACACTATACATCTCCACATTGAGAGAAGTTGCGGGAAAGACACGGGAGAACTTGCTCTGTTTTTGAGCTAATTTTGCGCGTCCCTATTTTATTAATTTGAGGATAACAGTTAAATAATATGAACTTAAAGGCAGTTAAGTTGACGATCTATGGAGCGATGAACGTGTGGAAACGTAGGACACCCTTCTAGTGTGTTATTCGAACTATTGTTGATCGAGCATCATGTCTGCGATCAGACGAAAATTCGGCGAAGATTATCAAGTGGTGAACACCAACCGGGCCATGTCCTTTTCTGCCCCGGCCAAAAAAAAGCGCCAGCGGTTCGTGGAGAAAAACGGGCGCTGCAACGTCCAGCACGGTAACCTTGGCGGGGAGACCAGCAGGTACATCTCCGACCTCTTCACCACGCTCGTGGACCTCAAGTGGCGCTGGAACCTGCTCATTTTCCTCTTAACGTACACGGTCGCGTGGCTTATCATGGCATCTATGTGGTGGATCATCGCGTACATCCGTGGGGACCTCGGACGCGGCCACGACGACTCGTACACGCCGTGCGTCGCCAACGTTTACAACTTTCCCTCCGCTTTTTTGTTCTTCATTGAGACTGAGGCGACTATAGGTTACGGGTACAGATATATAACGGAGAAGTGCCCGGAGGGCATTATACTTTTCCTGTTCCAGTCGCTGCTGGGCTCGATCGTGGATGCGTTTCTCATCGGCTGTATGTTCATTAAGATGTCTCAGCCCAAGAAACGCGCAGAGACGCTCATGTTCAGCCAGGACGCGGTCATCTCACAACGGGACGGGAAGCTCTGCCTCATGTTTAGGGTCGGGAATCTCAGGAATAGCCACATGGTGTCGGCGCAGATCAGGTGCAAGCTCATCAAGGTAGCGTTTTCTGAAATATCAATAGAGCCCATGTGTGTTTGTCCACGGGGGTTAAGAGCACAAATCCGCATCTCGCAACAATGCATAGGGAAAATATCCGGCAAAAAAGTTACTGGCGTTCTTGTGAATATTTTCAACATGAATGTAACTGGTCCTCTCTGGGAAAAGCAATTGGATTGAAGCCTTTCGTGGCATATTATGGAGATGGACGCGATCGCATCGATTTTAAGCTCGTCATATACTGTTCATTTGGCCATTGCTTGTTCACCCCTAATGTAGGCTAATGCAATCCGATCTCAACAGTCTCTGATTTGCATAGAAATCGTGTTTGCTCTCAGAGTAAAGCTGTGGCGTTTAAATTAATAGGACACATTCCCTTTCTGATTGATTCATGGGAAGCCGCGGTACGAGTGCTTTTTGGAGACAAAGCACTTTCTGCTCTGTAAACGGTCAGTAAGCTATTAGATCCTGGGTTTTAACTAGCAGATAGCTATTGCCTTGGCTACCTATGAAATGCAGCGCAAAATGTCACGGTAACACTTTGTAAGGTCCAAATTGCGTGAACACTGAAATGGCAGATGTTGCTTAAAACACTCACTCGCTTAGGCCTACTCAGTCAATCACTAATCACACGTCTTAAGCAAATACCTTAAAAAAAATTTATGTCACTCCCATCCGCATAGGCTATATGCCATCCTTTAACTCTATTTAGAATTTATTTCAATATAAAACATATAATAAGAAAATATTAATAAATTAAAAACAGAAGAATCTGAATCTGCAAAAAAAAAAAAATAATAATGTATGTTTCGTTTTTGTTTTTCAGTAAAAAAAATCTAGGCCTACAGTTTGCAATAGAAAATTTTGAAATTAAAATATTAACTTTTTCAAATAATTTATCTTTAATTATTTGCCCTAAAATTAAATAGTTTATTTTGTTACCTCATTGGCAAATTTTGTGTCTTTTTAAGTGAGATGTATGCTTAAAATCATAAACAAGTCTTTTTTGAACACAGTTTGACTTTTTCTGGAAAACAAACAAACAATTCTGATTAAATATTCTTTTTCACACCGGACAATCTCCATATGACAGATTTCACCAGCGCTTCCTCAGTGAAAATGATATAAGAATTAGAACAAATGGGGACAGGGCAATGAAAATTTGAGCTCATGGAAAAGAAAGACTTGACACGGCGCTGATCAGAGCAGAAAGGAGTGGAAGTGGAGAGGAGGGCTTTTGTGCTGTGTTCTACAGAAGAGCATTATTGACACATGGCTCTCACCACTCCACGGCAGGCGCAATGCAGTGAGCACAGGATGACGGATGGTTGACTTTATAAGCCTTCCCTTCCTTCTGTTCCGCCCTTTGTCTGTAAATGTCCTATGCAGAACGCTAGGGGGAAAAAACAGCAGCCCATCTATTACTCTCAGAGTGACCTGCAGTGTAAGCACTCTGTCCCACCTCTAAAATTTACAGTCTCTTTTGCTTTCTTTTACTGTTTTCTGTGGCTAATGTCTGAGAAGATTAACTACAGGCTGTCTTAAGAGTACCTCAAGAAGATAATTATCAACTTCATGGAAATTAAACTGTTTTCAAACAGTCATTGAAATTTGCAATTAAAGTTCTCCCTCTGGTCAAAGTTATTTTGAGGTGCATGCAATGCACAAAAACATGTATTGCACTCATCTGTCAAAATTGGCAACTGCATGATGTGCCTCGTGAGCTTTGGTGTGTTTCTTTCTACAGATATTTGAAGCAAAATCATGTGAACTTTAGTATGCAAAGGCGATGGTAAAATCAAACTGCGCCTGAGTTACATGGTTAGAATGGTGAGGCTTTATAGCATCAGAGGGAGGCAGAGGGATTTGACAGGATTGATTAAATATCACCAGGGACTTCATGGGACAAGCTGTGAGGAAGGGAATATTAGTCTCATACAGTTACTCCTTTACCCCTGAACGTTTCTTCTGAACTCCAGGGAGCTGTATTGCCTCCCTTGGCAGCCTCGCTTTGAAAAAAAGGCATGTTAAAAGCGACGTCTTGTCATAGCCTAATTTAGTTTTCTGTTTGAACTCTTTCTGTTTCTGCAAAAAATTATTTTATAAGACTTCAGTAGCTTTAGTCTTGGCTATGAGTTTGTGTGGTATTCTTCTAAAGTTAAAACTTTTCATCTTTTTTGGACAGAATATTTTTATGTTTAAAATTGAATTTGCAAGCAAAAAAACAAAAACAAAACAAAAAAGATCTTAAAAATTACAATGATGACATTCTGATGTGTTTTTGGTTTGCACATGGATGTGCAAACCACACTAGTTTCAGCAACAGTCAGGGGCTGTCAGCAGATGTTTATAATTTATCTCTGCTACCTTTATCACACCAGCAGATGAAACATTGTGTTCCTTTTTGGTTTTGTACTTGTGTTAAACAGTTCCCTTAAAACAAGTATGTGGGTGTGGCCTGGTTAAACCCTACATTATGGGGATAATATATCATGTCAAATGTCATCAAAATGACCCCATGAGAAAAACAGTGTACAAAAAATAAATAAATAAATAATAGTGATAATGTAAAAATGCAGAACGTTTTCTGTAATGGTTTGGTTTAGGTTTAGGGTAGAGTTTAGTGTAAGGGGATTGAATATACAGTTTGTAGAGCATAAAATAATTATGTCTATGGAAAGCCCCTTAAAACATGGAAAAAAACAACAACGTGTGTGTGTGTGTGTGTGTGTGTGTGTGTGTGTGTGTGTGTGTGTGTGCGTGCGTGTGTGACAGTGGCACTGTATCTATACTTGTGAAAGCTCTCACTCTTCCTGGGATTGGAGCTCTCAGTCTGTTCACCATCTGTGTCCTTCGGCACAGGCAGCCAACCCCGTTGACTTCACTGCCAATCTCTAATGTTAATATGGAAACGCAAGGCTATGTGGAAAGGTAGATTAACAAACCGTGGTTGTTAACTGAAGATGCCCTTTAAAAGGTTTTGTTATGCATGCAGATATCTGTCCATATTATGAATAAAGACCAGTGGTCCATTTCCTGTAATTTTGCACAGCTTTGTCTTGCGAGTGGGTAGTGGGTACATGTCACACTATAGGGCACATCAGTCACTGTTAGTATATATTTAAACTAAAAACATTTTAAACAGCACTGCAATATTACGCATTCAGTTTTAAGACCTCATATCAATTGTGTCTTCATGGAATATTTGTAGTCGTAAGATATTGGTACAACATTTAATTTAAATAATATTATTTAAACATAAAGACATTTGCCGGCCGGATGGTTTCCTGACCAGGTAAAAAATTCCTGGCCAGGCAAGACCAGCTAATATCAGCAAACCTTCCTAGGCTGATTTAACGGATGTTTTTAACACATGAATTAATCATTCAGGTACTTGGATTGCAGATATTATACAGTCCTGGTAAAGTACACCAGGTCACAGTAGTTGACTACATCCTGCACACAACCTTGCAAAGAGAATTTAACCTGCAATGTTTGGGCAATTGCATCATGCAAACTGTGTGTTTGTGCTGTTACCTGATTTGTATAATTCCTTCAATGAATCCAAGGCTACAAAAGCACAGGCAGCATGTGCAAATAAACATCACTTTTAACGGGCACAATTAATTTTTAGTTCACCCCTGAGCACCACAGTCTGAAAAATCCTGAGTGAATGCCAGTGAATCTGAAAAAGGTGGATATCAAGATTTAAATGTGATAGTACTAGTAGAGTATATGAAAATTGTGAATGTGTCAATGTCCTAACCGCTTCTCACCCTGTTTTTGCTTTAGTCTCGTCAAACCCCAGAGGGAGAGTTTCTACCATTGGATCAGCGGGAATTGGATGTAGGATTTGGAACGGGCGCTGACCAACTCTTTCTTGTCTCACCCCTCACAATATGTCATGAGATCAATTCCAATAGCCCATTTTTCGACTTGTCTCAGCGTTCCCTCATGAATGAGCAGTTTGAGATTGTCGTCATCCTGGAAGGCATTGTGGAAACTACAGGTTAGTATCATACATTTTCAACATCATACAATCTCTGAAAAAAAGTGTTCTGAGAAAGAAATACAATCTTACTTCAGCTTGACCCTTTTAACTTGCCATGTTTACTCTGAGTAACAAGCCCACTTTTCTTCACTTTGCAAGTGGATGTTGCAGATAAGATGGGAATAAATTATACAATACAATAGAAAAGCTTTTTCTTGGTCACACTACATCCTGGTGGCAGGATGTAGGTGGCCTTTATTCCTAAATCCAGACAAAGAAAAAAGCCTTAGTGCCTTTTTATGAGGTCTGAAAGTTTTTCAAATTCAGGTTTTCTCTGATTTTGACCTAAAAAAAAAACCCATCACAGACATGAGCACAACACATGCACACATGACAACCATGTCAGAATAGCAGTAAAAGAGTTTACATGCAGATTTAAATTGGGGTAAATGGGAAAAGTTGTACATTTAAAATACCATAATGTCAAGCCATTCATTTTTAGCATTCTGTCAATAGCAAAGTCTTTCATTTTCCTTCCATTGCCTCCAGGCATCATACCTTTAAATACTATTTTTTCATTTTTTATGCAAAAAAAAAAAAAAAAACATTGCTTTCAGGGTTCATGACCAATGGCTTGTTTTATATTAATATATTAAGTTTCTGTCTCTCCATTCATTGTAATATGAAATTATGGCTTCCCTTTTAGGCATGACGTGCCAAGCACGAACATCTTACACAGAGGATGAGGTGCTGTGGGGTCACCGCTTCCTACCAGTCATGTCGCTGGAGGAGGGATTCTTCAGGGTGGACTACTCTCAGTTCCATAACACATTTGAGGTTACCACTCCTCCATATAGTGTGAAAGAGCAGGATGAGAAGTCCTCCTTGCACTCCCCCGGTCCTGTTCTCTCCCCTACGTTGCACGATGGTCGTAGTTGCAGAGAGCACATCTTCTCCTTTGACGGGGTTCCTCTCACCGAAGAACCCGGGTCCAAATTACCAAGCAAGCTCCAGCGTATGACTTCCAAAAATGGAAAAGAGGTCCTCAAAACTGGAAGTGCGCAGCCGACAGAAAAGGCCTCCAGCACAGGTGACCTGCCCCTCAGGGTGCAGCTGCTCGGATCCCTGGTGGGTCAGCGGGAGGCGGAAAATCACCTCCAGCTCAAACCTCTTAAGATGGGGTCAGAGGCCCACACCCGGTCGGCAGGAGAGCTGGAGCATCACAGACTGTTTGCAATCCCTGCTCCGGTCCCAGGCCCGAGCCTCAACCTGTTGCCTGCCTCCAGTGGCCGACCAGAGGACAACCTCCCCTCTAAATTACGCAGAATGAATGCAGACCACTGAATGGGTCTTTATTTTTCACACAGAGATGGCCAGTCAGTTTTAAGGTAGGGCCTTAAAGGGATACTCCATATTTTTTCATATTAAACTATGTTATTCCCTTAACTAAGACGATACGTATCTCTGTCGTCTCAGTGCGTGCACTCAATCACTCTGGTGCACGAAACACTTTGATAGCACTTTAAGCCTAGTTCACACTACATGATTTTAAAATGTCGGGCTGAACTGTGCAGTTCACACTACATGACTTGCTCTCAGTGAAATCATGAGTGTTCAAGTTGTTTAGCTGTTCACACCACACAACATAACGTGATTGATCCACAACAGGAGGTAACTCACTACACGAGTTAACAACGCACTACATAGAGATACAACCACGATCGGATGATAAGAGCATATCATTTGTGACTCAATGAGAGCTGTTTCAGTACTATAGTACGGTCTAAATCCTGAAAATAATCAAACAAATAACGAGTTGACAACAACACGATTCTATCTGGTCTAGAAACCATGTTTTGTCACGAAAAACCACGCAATAAAACGAACCAGAAATGACGCGAAACTGCAGAGAAGAACACAACACGCGAATATGGACGTCAGACAGAAACTAGTGCTGCACACTGTTTGCTCGACGATCTGCTCTGAGAAAAAAAAATGCAAAAAAGAAAAGAAAAAGTAAGATTTACCTAGTGTCCTCAACCCATGCGTTGCTATGATTGGCTGTACTCATGACATCACTGAGATTGAGTCGCGCGACTGCTCGAGATATCTAGCATGCTAGATATTTTTCTGAGCTCGGTGACCTGTCTGCGAGGTGTCTGCGAGCTGTCTTTGGTGCGTTGTTGGCTCTTTCACACTAACGGATTGGCGAGCGTTAATTGTCCGCTAATCGCCCGCGATTTGCACGCGATAACACCCTGACTTGTCGGCGACTCAACGATTTGCAAATCGGGCTTAAATCGGGCTTAAAATCACGTAGTGTGAACTAGGCTTAACTAGCCCAGTTCGTTCAATATGGGCCTAGCAGAGAAGCGAAACACCTCATTGTTTTCCCTATTTAAATACAGTTACTCGAGCAGTGTATCTCGACCTAGGATGGTGACACAAAATAAAACGTTGCACTTTTCTAAGCGTGTAAAATGGACAACTATATTGTATGGCGAAATACCACAGCAAGTGCTTGGGAGCACTTCGACGCAGAAATATCATCAGTCGTGAAAAGTCCTCTCCCCCTCTCACTCTCTGGAGTGATGATATTACTGTGCCGAGTCCATAGATAAATATGTGCTGAGTCGGACTGCTCCCAAGCACTTGCTGTGGTATTCCGCCATACAATATAGTTATCCACTTTACAAACTTAGAAAAGCGCAACGTTTTATTTTGTGTCACCGTCCTAGTTCGAGTTACACTACTTGTGTATATTTAAATATATTTAAATTTATATAATTTAGATATAATTTATAAATTTATATTTAAACTATATTTAAATAGGGAAAATGTGGAGGTGTTTGGTCGCTCCTCTGCTTGGTCCATATTGAATGAACTGGGCAAGTTATGTGCGATCAAAGTGTCAGAGCGATTGAGAGCACACACTGAGATGAGAAAGGTATGCATCAACTCGTATAGTTAAGAGAATAACATAGTTTAATATGAAAAAAACGGTGGAGTATCCCTTTAAGGTAGGGCTTAAAAATGGCCTATGGCCAACCGTGGGCTTCGTGTATCCCTGTCTTTAGGAAGTAGAGATAGAGATAATTCTCGAAATCATTAACTATTGAATAATATTTATTTAAAAAAGGCCTTCAGTATACTGTGATTCTTCTTCTCCATGCTGATGGAAGAGCTGCATCCATTTTTGGTCAACAATCATACTCATTGCTTTCCCCTTAATAATATGAGTATTGTATAGATATTTTTTGAATTCAATTTGAATTCAAAAAACCTTCAGCTACTTTTAGATATTTAAGCACCTTTATAGTATGAACACAATATATTTAATGTATTTATTTATAAGTTATTTATCAAGAATTTATTTAGAGCAGTGTTTATTGATACAATATTTACAGACTTTAAATGTTAGGCTTTTTGTCATTTCTGTCAGCAATATGTATGTGTATTTTCAAAAGCATATTTATTACCACCAATGTTAAAAGAAAATCTTGGTATGTGAATTATTTACATCCATCAATAATGGGGTTAAGAAAGAAAGAAAACTGAAATAACTTTTTTCTTTTTAAAAAGAACATTTTTAAATAGTTTCATTGGGAGATGCAAATACAGTATGACAATTATTGTGAAGTTAAATGAACAATTATGACTTTTAATAAATTCATTATTAATTTCTACAACAGAGTACAATAACTTGGAAAGCATTATTTCTGTATTCCTGACCGGCATCTACAAGTACGTCAGTTATAGTGCCCAGACAGGCAAACCATGGCATGAAACATTTAGTGTGTAATTGAACCTTTCAATCATGCTATTTGCATCAGATCCCATCTCTGTTTAGGGCCAGAGACCTGTGCATTCTCTACATCTAACACTAATTATCATCTCCAAGGAAACCTTGTGATCTTTACCTCAGGCAGTGAGAGGAAGTCAAAGTAATTCAATTTGCCTCCAAGAAAGAATGAACTGTGTACACGGACCATGCCATAAAAACCTGACATTACTCTTAATTAAATAAGCAGAGGTCCTCTCAAATTGTTCATTACTCATGCAATTCATTTTTTTTTTTTTAGTAAACAGCAGTGGCCAGAAAAGATGTGAAATAATAGTACAGGATATCGTGGCATATCCAAGAGTATGCATTTAATCTCCATTAATGCAAACCATAAGCAATAATATACAGAACAGGGGGGGAAAAAACAAGCAGACTAATGCAAAGATTTCCTAATGTAATCAGTGTCCTCGTAAATCAGTGTATATATACTGTATCTGCCGGGAATGGAGATTGGCTAAATGTATTTCAGCTTTGGGAAATCAATCTAATTTACTTGATGAAATTTCCATGTTTCCAAAGAAAATGCCTTCTTAGTTTAACAAGTTTATTTCATAAACTCAATAACTGAGAGGTCAGGAGTAAATTCTCCAATCACCTGTCCAGGGTTGTGCAGCAGATGACCAGACAAAGTGCATTTCCATCATGAAGGACTGTATCTGAGCCTCGCTCTGATGGAAAGGTTATTTTCCTCCATTTGACTGGGTGCCAAGAGACTCTGCAGTCAGGATTGAGACGAAAACATTGATCGCTGGGCGCCATCATATCACTCTGGACAAATGTTACATCTGAATAATCTCTTCTCTAGAAAGGAAGCCACACAGAAGCATAAAATGTGCTCAGAATGGAACAGGGAAAATGTGAATCATGATCACAGAAGTCTGATATCCTGAGTCAGAGGAATAGCTTCAGCTCAGCAGCTGGTATTGATGGTAAGAGTACATTAATTTACAGTATCTTAATGCCTTTCAGAGTAAAATAGTGAACATCTGAATTAAGGGACTTTTGCTCTAGTTTCATGATGTCATCATGCACACCCCCATGTGGCTCCAAATCTCTTTCTTTTTTTATCTGTGAAATATGAAATAATATATTTTGAGAAAAATCTGTATTTTTATTATTATAATTCTTTTTTATACATTGAAAGTCAATAGGCTCCCATTGTTGTTTGGTTCCAAACCTTCTTCAAAATATTTAGTTTTCCGTGGAAGAAAGTCAGTCAAACATACATACATTTTTTTGGTTTAACTATCCCTTCAAGTATGCATGTAATATTCTGAATATACTACATCTGATGATCTGCTATTTTTATGACCAGTATGTTCTTCGACCTATGATGTACTAACAACAACCACAAACAAAACTGACTTGGTTGAAAAAAAAAGTACAATTTAACTTTCATGACTTTCTTGGTATCTGTAACACACTTTCAGATAGCCGACTGAATCACCAGTTCTCATTTGATACATTTATTTTTGCATGCGTATCTGGGAAATATGAATATTCAAACAGCTCTTTTCTTAACTCATACTTGGATGTTATGAGGATGGGGTCTTATGAGGTGTAGAATGGCTACGGATTCCGCCTTACATACAAAAACATATTTCTCAATGAACCTGGTCCTATACAGCCCAGTTCTCATTTCTAATGCAGAAACAGTGCTTTTCATTGCAGCATGTCCACAGTCATGCTCACCATGCGCTCTATTACACGATTCCAGATGCTCATTAATACATAATGAGCTTAGTAAATTCTCTGTCAAACCAAACCACAAAAAAGCACCAAAAAAAAAAAAAAACCACTGCATTACATAGCTCAGCATGTGAATAAGCAATGATGAGGATATTAGGTACAGAGAGTGAAAGAAACTGTGAGTGGAGTATACTATCCATGTTTACCTGCACATTCATTACATCCCTCAAAGCCTAACAGATGCTCAGTGGAAACTGTCATAAACTCGCTTTTTTCTTATTTCAATGCCAACTGCTTGAAGTACATTCCTTTGTTTTCGTCTGTCAGTAGGCCTATCTGTCAGCAATTTGTGTAAACTGTGTTTGAAATGCATTCTCTGATGGCCCTTCAAGGTGGTTCAAAAACATTCTGTGAAGAGTCTGCAAGTCTATTTCACATCAAGCTACCTTCGGAAAAGGCAAAGAAATAACCCTGAGCTGTCGCTGGCATATTTACGGCGCAGGCTTGGTCTTTGGAGTTCTGGAGAACGTGCACAGTCAGCTATGGCCCTGAATCTAAATAAATGAAAATTGCTATGCTTTGGGTTACAACTTCAATTTTGATAATTTGCTACTCTATGAAGAAATCCAGCAAGATTGAAAACACTCCATAGCTTTCCAAATAATTAGGAGACAGTCCTTATGCTGATTTAATCGGGGTTTACTTTATTTGAAAACTGTCAATTTCATCATATACACAACATTTCCACCATAATTGCACTGGAAAACAAATAGACCTAGATTTAATTTAAAGCTATTGAACTGAACCGAATAAACAGTTAACTGAATTGAACAGAATGACAACCTTTTTGGAGCT